GCGAGTGAGCTACTAGAGCAAGCCACTATAGTGGCGCGTCGTGCCTAAAAGGTTAATGTATGATAATAATGCAAGTGTGTTATCTCTTGACGGTATAAACATTTTAATTTCTAGACTATTAGGTCTACCGGAAAATTCTGTCTGATAATGTCATTGTAAATTTCAATAGATATGCACATATTCATTTGAGACATATATTTTTGAAAAATGTTGCTCACAAATTGCCATCATGCTGGCAAGAGGACTTAAGTAATGACAGAAATTATATTGTACAATAAATATTACTAAATTTATAAAAAATCTATTATTTCCTTTCATTTCTTAAACGGAGAGAACTTTCTTGTAGACCTAATACATTTCATGTTTCATGCATGCGCAGGAGCTCTTACCGCGAAGGGATTCGAATGATGTGCGAATAGTCGCCGACTGTGAACAACTATAAAAACGAGCCGTGAGGCTTGAATAATCGTATTTCCTCTTTCCAAATTGTCTATTCTTGTTTATAAGCTGAGGAATAATTGCTGAGAATTTACTGTAAGCATATTGACAATTCCTCTGAACGAATCTCCTACATCAGGCCTGAGCGAATCGCAGCTTGTGAGCCACACGTGGCTCTTTCCTCCTCTTACGTATTCCGTGGCTCGTCCCCACTATGCACCCCTACATACTCACGCGACACTATCGCTTGCGGCGGGGAGTAGTAGTAGCGTTTACGGAACCCAAGTAGTGGGGAAAGTGAGGAATTGGTAGTGGGAACTTATGGTTCGCGATCGAAAGCTCTCGTCCAGGTCTGACCTACATCATATATAGTCTCACAGTGATTTGATTTGAGGTCGGACAACTGCAGTGGGTAAAAGAAAGTATTCGCACACCTTTTGAAACGAAATAACTTTTTAAAAACTGCACTAAACGACTTAAATTTTTTTGTATGATAGATTACACTAGACAATTACGAAAGTGCTTTTTTTTAAATTTTGCTACTGTAGTGACAAAAAATAAAAACTCTAGTTTTTTAACTTTTTTATCTGAGCTACAACGAAAACTTAAAAAATGTCTTTCGTAGATCTCGATAGCTCATATGCATGTTGAAAATTTGATCGAAGTCGGAATTTTCCACTGCAGTTTAGCTGAATACAGACCTCAAATGCTGCATTACGCTTACACACTTTAACTCGTTTCAATAAGATTCCGCACATTACGCATCGTTATAAACCAAACATTCTTAAATTTATCAATTAGATCATTAAATAGTTATATTCAGTTCAGTATTTTTTGATATACAGTTACTCATTAAAATATTCGGAATGATTTTGTGGGGACTTTTACAGGACAATGTTCTAACAAACTTGTAGTTGTTCGAATGACAAAAAAGATCACAAAATGTTTTTCACTTTTTTATGAAATTCTCACGAGATCTACAAAAAGAATCATTTATATTTTCGTTATAGGCTCAGATAAGATAGTATAAAAAGGTAAAACTTTTTTACTTTTCTTGTCCTTCCAACTAATTGTATTTGTCGAAAAAAAATTGTTTACAGTTTGTATAGTAAACTAATTCCTCGAATACCTCAAAAAAGTTCAAGCTGTTTGGTCCAATTTTAAAAAAGTTATTCTCAATTTTCGTACCAGGCACTGTGGTTTTGTTCAGTTTTCAGCCAACTTTTCATTGTTCCAAGGGAGGGTTTATTTTTGTTCTGGAAACGAGAAAAGAGGGGTGAACGTTTTCGTGGTGCGTTCATCGTATTTCGCCGCCAATTTTGATGAAAAAATACCTTGACGTAACATTGTGAATCTGTAAGCTATCATAAACCATTGTCATTTTTAAAAGAAAATTGAGTCGATTTGTTGAAAATTTTCTGCGTTTATCGCATTGGCAATAAATCGTAGTGGCAGTATCTACCAAGTATTTATCATGCAAAGAGAATGATACGAATTAAACTTCGAGTTTCCCTCCGAAGATACTCCGCTACCGAGCCAAATCGTGGCAAATTGCCTGCAGCAGTCAGCATTCCGGCATCCACTAAATTGACGGGGGAATTCATCTTAATAATCCGCCTATTAATGGTGCATAGATATTTCGAACAAAGCGTCTCGCCGATTACGTGTTCTGCCAGCTTGCCGAGACCTCGTGAATCCTAGCTCTCTGAATATGGAGATGCAACTGACATCCTCTGTCGTCGAGCGTGTGGCGCCGAGTTCAATTTGAACAGTTCTTCTCTTTAACTCTAAAAGACAGGGTTTAATTGCCGGTTTATTTTTAATGATTATTTCTACGAAACCTGCAATCGCCTGCGTTCCAAAAATTGTAAGAAGACAATTTCTCAATCGGCAAGGAAAGAATGTGTAAAAATGTAGATAGGTTCATTTCATTCTTGTGATATAATGCGTGTTTTACGTAACATTTCTGTGTTTTGTTACTAGTTCTCACTTCGCTAAGACGATTGCCAGTAGCTTTGCCCTTAGCCCGTGGCTTTGTCCTTGTTCGTTGCGAAACCTGTTGAATAGCTATGGTTTAAAGGTTAAACAGGATCCCCTGAATATGTATCTACATCATTTATTGCCGTATCAAAGAACTTTTCGTGGCACCATTGAGTACCATACAAACTCAGCGATCTTAATAACAAAATTATTTCGATTACAGTCAAACCTGATTTTTTGCGGTAGAAAGGGACCGCAGAAAAAAACACACAAAAAATATTCAGAAAGTTCATAAATATCTATAAAAAATAATTCTTCACAACATATCAAAGAAAATTTTTTTTATGCAGTGAAGAGGGACCCCTTAAAAAATGTCTCACTTAGAAAATNGTATGTTCCGTACACGCATTGTCAATGCACCGCTCGATTTTACCTTGATTCCCGTACATTACCTCTTCGGTAGTCATCGACATGCTGGTTCTGTTTTGTTTACACGGCGCTCATTCCCTCCCGCTGTCTTTGTCTTCGAAATGTCGTGCGTTTCAGCACGAAATTTCATATCGACATCCGTTCGCTACACAGTCAAACTTGTTTTTGTGCAGTAGACAGGGACCGCAAAAAAAGATCGCACAAATAGAAATGTTCAGAAACTTCATAAATAGCTGTAACAAATAATTTTTCACGACGTATTGAAAAACATTTTTTTATGCGGTGGAGAGGGACGCGAAAAAATGTCTCACTTAGAAAATATGTCAAAGCTTTACGAAATAGTGAGAAAGTGCTTTCCAAATAAAATAAATAATTAAATGACATATAGAAACATTTTGAAAAATTTTAATTTCTCATTTTAAACATAGAGAAATTTTCAAAATGCATATAATTCAATTCTATTCATCGTAGTCCAAAACACGCATATTCTTGTGATGAACTGGTACGTAATGGCTTTCGTCACTTTTAGATATTAGAGATGATTTATTTTTTATCATGTAGTCAGTTCTAAATCCTTCAGCTGACTGAAATATTGTTTAGCTTCCTCTTTAATTAAATCTCCTTCAATAGGGATTCGTTTTCGTGTTGAGTCTTTAATCCAAAATATGGGGGCCTTTTTCGTTCTTTTATTAAAATATTTCTTGAATATGAAATAATATGTTCTTTTACCACCTTCCTTTGTTATCATCTTCATTATTAAATACATTTATTTTACTTGCATGTTTTTACATGCTTCTTATAGTGAATTCACCTAATTTAAATTCCTTTTCCAAGAGCTGTGGATCCTTTACCATCTGCTAGTCTATTTAATATTGCAATTTTAGTTTATAATACAATTATCTTTCTTTTCACTTTCTTTTGGTTATTTATTCATTTTAAGGGAGTAGTTATGTCTAAAAATAAAATAAAAATCATAAAAAACTATATCTAAATAGAAAAAAGTAATTAATTTACCTGTAATCTCAATATAAAATTAATCCTATCTTAATGGTCAAAAGATATGTAATGTACGCATCGCGAAGGTCGATAATTATCTAATGTTACATTAGATGGTGCAATATGTATTGAAATTGGCTGATGCAATATGCACATAAACACAAATATTCAAAAGGTGATGCCAATACTGTTGAGATTGACCTAATTTCACAGCAAACTTACATATGGCGAACAGAATCTTGATACGTATGTATTCATATACCGCATAAAAAAATCGCATAAAATAGACCGCACAGAAATAGGTTTGACCGTATTTAATGTGAAGATATTTGTATCTGGTTTTTAGCATTTAAACGAGTTGTAACAACTTCAGCTAGTACAATACGTTACAATGGGAAATTTGTTACCGCGTATTTCACGCGTGCAATATGTGTTTGCTTACAACTCTGCAATAGAATATTTATTGCAAAAACTTATGTAATTCTTCTTTTCTTATTTTCGTGTAAAGAATAAATCTCCTCATTTCACCTGGACAATTTTGAAATATCATGTGTAATACATGGAAATCTGTTGTGTTAAAAAATTTAATTTATTGTATCCGAAAAAATTAATAATATTTAATACTAAAAACAATATTGTATGCGAAATATTTAGAAGGAAAATAATAACGATGATAGTATTAACAGGAGCATTGCTTTTAATTTTTTTATTACAATACTTTTTTTCAACGAAATTCAATTTTCAAATAGGGAAAGATTATTTCTTCAACGTATTCTACCAACCATTTTGAAGAATATTTATTCTCTCACTCATGTATATTAGAAACGCAAGCAAGTTTGAAATTATAAAAGGAAACAATGAAATGTCAAATTTCAAATACGCGAAACTCGGTTAAATCACTCCTGCCTCGCACATACATGCATACATACGCACATGACGAAATATAAAACTGTAACAAGATGTAGGAAACGAAGGAAAATTGAATTTTTACTTCGAAGACATACATCGGAAGGAAATCTAGGAAGCTTTACATGTTTCAAAAGTACTCTGTGTGACCCACATTCGTTGCGAGTGATTTTCCTATCTTGTGTAACGACAGACATTTGTTCAAATTCGCAGTTCTAACTCTAACAGAATGATTTTTCCGTTTGTTACAGTAACGAAATTCATCCGTATTGGAATAGCTGACAAGAACGACAATCCGCCATACTTTGATAAAGGCCTCTACGAGGCTGAAGTAGATGAAAATGAGGACATTCAGCACACGGTTCTCACTGTCACCGCCAAAGATCACGACGAGTGTAAGTAAATCTGAATAAAATCATCACAAATTTTTCTAATTTCAACTAGTTACATATCTAGTTAGATAAAAAGTCAAGCTGAAAATAACAAATATGTTATCGATGATAACACTGTTCGACACGATTTTTGGGTTCCTATAGTCACTATGAAATCCTTGTAGAGCTTCACTCCCTGAACAAGAATTCGAAAACCGAATTGCTCTATCACCCTCAGCTTTTTAAATAAACGATCTTTTGTAAAAACCCAAAATTTTTCGACAAAAATGAGGTATTGCATGAAAAGTACAAACGTTAGAAAGTTCTAATTGGTGTTAAAAGATAGAAGAGAGTTTTCCGAATATAGTGGCATGCAATGTATTAATTGTTTTTGGTCCTAAATATCAATAAATTAATGTCAAAGTTTAAAAAAGTGTCGACGTGCGCAGTTTCTCCGCAATATTTTTGTATTTTTACGAAAAGTTCTTTGTTCAGCACGAAAACTCTACCCAGGATCGAATTCTGTAGACATTTCTGAAGAAGAAGCGGCCCGATAGAAGCGTCAGAATGATGTACATTTTGGGTAGGTCGAGAAAATGTTTGTTGGCAACATGTACACGATGTTTTGCCGCCATGTGCTTCGCTGCTCGCTTCTCTCTGTCCGACAGGGTCGAAGCTACGCGTTATCAACACCGATGGAGGGATCAAATGGGGCATCCACTTTTCGTAAATAATATTTGAATTTTTTTTAGTACTTCAATGTTCTGTTTTTTTACACATTTCTGTGGATAATAACCACCAAACTGTGATATATTTCACACAAAAAATCACACCAGAGTATTTGGAGTTGGTAACGAAAGTAT